TTTGCCATGATAGTTATTTGTAAGAAAATCCATCGCACGTTGCAGATAACGAGACTTTTTTTTCTTTTTCTCTCCCGCTTTTTTTCCCCCCCTCTCACTAAGGGTCAAGTATTGAATATTCTCAGGAGAACTATTGCACAACTGCTCGATAATGTCAATGATAAATCAACAGTTTTTCCATGTATTTACAGTCCTTTAATGAGTTCTCAATCTTCGCGCCTTCACGGTTAAGTGGAGAGAACATTCAAGAATTGAAGTATAATGCAATGATGTAAACAAAGGAAGTTTTGCGCATATTGACACAACTGTGTCGTTGACTATCGTGAATACAGTTTACAAATTTCCACATTTAAGCTCTTAATATGATCACGTTCAGCGATCGAAAATTATTAAATGATAATAATAATAATAATATTAATAATAATGATAGTATTACTGATAAAGTGCTGTTACGCGCACGAACTACGGTAGACTTTTATCGTTAAAGTAATAAGGCAATACAGATATTTGCGCCTTGAAAAATCCCCCACTCAAAGGAGACCACAATATATTACATCAGCAATAAGGGTTCTAATATAACAAGCAGAGACAAAATGACTCTGGAAAGGAGAGGATAACAGCAAATTAAAATGACGAACTTAAAAAAAAATCCAAATTTTTCCTTGATGATAAGCTGTCTCTTCGCGACGGCATTATGAAACGCGAGTTGCTATCATCGCTTTCCCAGGGACTTTGAAACCGGGCGAAACGCCATTCTCCTCGAAAGATAAAAAGTGTAAGTCGTCATAACTACCCATCCTTTCAGTAAAACACGAAGAAGAAGGCCATTTAAATTCTGCTTGGAAAACCAATTTATTTCCAATGTATACAATGTTGAAGTTCTGATATGGAGGATTGATAAAGCGTACTTGAAGGATGTCATCTTGAACTGTAATCTCCACCGAGTATGTGGTCACCTCATGTGAAAGCACATCTGAAATGTTTACGGAATAGTTTCCGATGTACGGCTTCGGATCCACTGGAAATTCGGACGAACCCTCCAGATCAACCAGAGTTTGGTTCATGACTGGAAGAAGAATTTTATAGATGTCGTGAATCATTCTATTAGATATAGGTGGCCCTCCTTTGACGAAATGAAATGTGCTTATGAACAGATTTACCCCCAGCTGTAACTCAGGAACGATCGAGAGGTATGCTTCGTAAGAGTCAATGACTCCACCCTTTTGCCGAACTATAAAATGTTCCTGGAGTTCCATCTCCCATGGAGCCCCCCAAATGGTGGTCCCATCCGGGGCGATATCCGCAGCGGACATCATATCCCAGAGCGACGCCGGCCGGAATAGGGTTTGTTTTGACGGTTGTGCAAGTGTCATTCCGAGCTTCGTCATGTCCTCGAGCGTTGAATACATTTGGCCAGCAGGTGCAACCCAATAAATATTCATAAAAGGCATTATTTCTCCGTTTGGCGAATACGGAAATGCCATGTTTTGCTGCACGTCCGCTGTGATTTCAAATCCTGTGCGTGTCATATTTAAAGGTTTCAGAATGTTTTCTTTCACCCAAGTCTCAAACGTTTGATTCTGTAGGAGATTCTCAGACAGCAATCTCCCGAGCAAGGCGTATCCAAGGTTACTGTAAGACGGCATGGATCCTGGAGGCAGTATGAGACTGCGGTTCTTAAGAAGTTGTAACTGCTCTTCCGAAGTATCATTACGGCAAATATAGAAACATGGCGCCTCTCGAGGTAGCCCCGACATTTGACTTGCTATCTGTCTTATCGTCACGTTTTCTCCAGTAAAAGGGTTTTGAATGTAAAATCCTGGAGCGTATTTGCTCAACGGATCGTCGAGGGAATCTATCAGGCCTTCCTCGTAAAACTTGTACACCATAAGCACTACGAATACTTTCGTGACGCTACCAATTCGGTAAATGGTTTGATCGTCGGGTATGTCTTCGCGTGTTGTGACCTTAGTTCCTTCATGAAGACTCAACAGAGTACGATCTTGATAGAAGATATCAGCCGATATTGCAGGAAGGTTTACTGTCTTGTTAACACGAGAGCTTATATAATCAGCGATCTTCTTCAACCCCGTAGAGAGCTGTTCCGGTAGTTTCTCAGATAAGGCCATTAGCTTTCCTGGTGTTTTAGGGCAAGGTGAGCCATACGTATCCGGTTCGCTCTTCTTCGGGGGAGCTCTGTCATAACCATTTCCACACTTTGCACATTCTTCATCATTTTTTAAAACCTGCCAAAGGAACAAAGCCGTCATGACAATCGCAATAATACACGCCACCACTGCAACAATCCTCCAAGTTCGCGTAGAACGTGTGTACCGTATTTGCATCGATTCCATCACAAGATTTTCCACACTGCTCATTGTGTTTAGGCATAAAACATAACTAATCTCTGAGCGATGTTTATTTTCCCAGAGCAGCGCTTCCTTCGATAGCTTCTAGATACTAATATCTCGGATTCTTATATGGTGGTTATCACACCAATTGCGTCGTCAACACAAAATCCAAACGGAAAATTACCCAAGCGATAAATTATGCCAAGGTTCGGTAACGGTGTACATCATGGTCTATACCTGTTCCTGTGACCGATCGCAGCGAGCAGATTATAATGCGATTTCATGGCTCACCTGTTATTCTTCATGTCACGTTCTCAGAAAAAGATACTGCTCATAAACATAACAATGCACCTTCAATTCAGATCAAAGCGACACTATTTTTTTCTGCATAATCAAAGGAAGTCTTTTCAGCGAGTCAGTTCTTACAAATCTTAAAAAGAACACTGTGCTTTATAATATGATGGGTTTTTAGCTCTTCTGCAATAGCGCATAATTCATCACTCGTCACGTTTTTATGGTTCACAGCACTTTAACGACTCTTGCACTTAGCAGTCATAAGTTGTATGTTTATATAGCTTGTCTACAGCCGCCCACAGGAGCATTGTCCATAAAATTAAATAAACATACCCTGGAGATATTGACACGTTACGTTTTTGAAGGCAATATGGTAATATCCAAACCTGACCGAGAAAACTGAAGTCTTAAGCAATCTAGAAAACTGAGATAATTAAAGTCATGTTTTCGACCTTTTATCCGCTGTGATGATATCTTTTCTTCCGCTCTCTATCTCTAAGTGTTTGTGATATCACTTAGTATCTTAGCGCCGACAGATATCTATTTTGTGTCAGTTTTTTTATGGATTGATACGAACGATTCTAATTTTTCACGTTCAGGCGACTGATTCTGTGACCTAACAAAGTAAGCCTCTTACCACAACAAAATTTTTCAAATGCCTTAAAAAATATTACGTGCCACGCCATTTACACTCGTTACATTTTTTGGAATGGAAAATAACAATATTGGAAATAAACAGATATTTGCTTTCACTTAGCTTTTTACTCATTACGACTTTAATTAATATGATCTAGAATATTACGAGGAGACTACTGAAACAATAATGACTTTGTGAAGGCTTAATTAAGTCCTCGAATATGTAATTCCGGCGTAAGTCGCCGAGACGTCCAGATTTACCTATTACAAGCCGGCATTTCGACTCGAATATTAGAACTGTCTTCGAAATAATATATTGTGGTGTCTAATTAACCATTTCTTTTTTTGTAGGATTTTGATGGGAAACGTTGCAATATTTGTAGAATTAAGTATAACGGTTTATGTTTACTAAAATTACGCACGGGAAAAAGGAATTCTGAATTTACCTTTTTAAAATCTATTTTAGCTTGTACCAAGCCCGAATAAAACAGCGAAAAATCTCGCTACACCGCGATTAGCGCAAATATATTTTAACTACGCGTAAAAAACGGCTGAAGGCAGATATTAAAAAATTCAATTGTTCCCCTTTGCAATTTGCCAAAATAATCGCTATTTCTAATTATACAAAGAAATGGAGCTCTTCGGTTATCAAAAACGGCATAGGAACAAACATTTGCGTGCTTTATCGCAACACAAGTAGACAGACCTGTAAAATTTAATAAGCTATTTCAAGTAAGTTGTCAGCATTGTTTACCATTACTTTTGTCAATAGTCATGCCCCAAGCTGGAAAATTTTCCAATTTATTTCAAACAGCCATGTGTTCATTTGCATTATCATACTCAATAAGCAACCACTTAAAAGAGAGCATAATTTTCGGGTCTTGTTTCTGGTATATCATGTGCTTTAGTGAGTAATCAGCCTGACCTTGTTCTTAATGTTTTTTTTCCCCGCAAATAATGCCTTGCACAGATTATTGAGGGACTTAATTAACAAGCATTAACATTTACCTAATGAAACCAGCCATAATTCTGGGTTACATTTTGCAGAAAATTTTGCATATCATGACGCACAAAATGTTTTTTACATTTCCTTAAATGAGTGAATGGTAATTCCGGCTTTACTAGAGGGAAGATGGGACTAACGCATGTGCTTGCGACAGAGCGGAAGCACTCACTCCTTTATTCGACAATTGTGATGCCTAGTTTTTTTTAAAATAAAAACCTGTTCAATTTTGGAAGGCTGAACTGATTCATGATCAACAGGCAGTCTTTTAAAAATTCTTGAAATACGGTTTATTATATAATAAGCTCAGTTATGCACGCATTCAGATTGGTTCTCACTTGGAGGACAGACTTATAGATGACA